GGAGAACTGGCTGAGCCTGCCCCGTGCCAGCTACCCCAAGGAGCAGCCGAGCCTTCCCTTCACCACCTACCCGGAGGAACAGATGCTGCTGGAGACGCCGAGGACCAGGTACCCTACGAGGGGGAGTGTGGAAGTAGCCTGGGGGCAGCCAACTCCAGTCTGGCTGCAGCACTGCCAGAGCCTGTGTGTGTTGCGGCCAGGATCCCCACTGACAGCAGAGAGTTTCCGCCACTGCTAGGGCCCCGGGCTGGGACGCACTGGAGTGGGAGGGCCTGCATCCCCCCTGCCACCCACCCCTTGGGTGGCAGACTCCCCCTTTCCCTAGCCTGGAGAGACTGGGACCTCTTGCTTATTGACTCAGCCCCTGCTTAAGGACCTGAGTTCCTGACTGTTTGGTTGATGCCCCGCCCTGACCTAGGGCCTGGGCGTCTGTATAGAACTATCGGCTCTGCCCCGGCCTAAAGGGCCTGAGCCCCTAACAGTGGGTTTGCTGTCCCCCACTACCGCAGGACTAGGACTGACAGTGAATGAGAGCGAGTGGCGGGATACCTCACAGCCCTGCTGAGGGACGAACCGCGGCCAAGCCCCATTACAGCTACATATATAATATATGTTTTTCTCCTGAAATGTCCTACTGAAATAACTCCCAGTGTTCTCCCAAAGTAATAAGGCTGATTGCATAACATGCCAAAGGCTGCAACACATATACTATACCTGCTCGTAATGGCCGAGGAACACCGCCAACAAAAATAGTTTTTCGTGGATCAAGAGGCTGCGAACCATCCATCACGAAGTCACTATCACTGAGATTCCAAGGCCTGATCTGAACCTATGGCCAGAAAACAAACTTTTTTACTGTTCTTAATTCAGATTAAGAGTTGAGGTAAGTATTTTAGCAATATCAACTGTCAGTTACAATATAGCCTCCCTGATGGTAAAAACTTTAAAAAACTTTATACTTTGAACTCACTTTCAAACTGTATATCAACTACCAATTAGGAGTTAATGCCAATATGCTCCATTAATGGTGACCTAAGCAGATCAGATTTCACCTTGTTATTTAACTGGTATGAGATATACAAGTTCTTCCTGTTAATGTGATGCATTATCACAATTCAATCATGCTATATAAACTTTATAAATACACATGTATCCACGATGTGTGTTGTTCTGACAAAGTAAGCTGTACTGTAGACATCAGGCTAATCACTATCACAGTAACACAGGTTCCAGCATGCAAGGCTATGCAGTGTTTATTTACTAAGCAACAATGTCTGCCGACAGAGGGTCTTGACCCAGAGCCCTCTGAAATGAGTGCGAGTCACTAGGCTTTGGATCAGGCCCATAGTCACTGCAGTACCAGTACATAATGCATAACCATACCATCCTCTTAGGACACTAATCTGTTTCACTGAAGTCAGCAAATATGCAGAACATCTGCAGTGCTCAATTTATAGCCTTATTTTATACCAACTCTAAAGTACTTGAAAATGTTACCTACTGGTTTGTCTTTGATAGTGGGGCTGGAGACACAAAGGTAGAGTTTTCCATCCTCTTCAATACATGCATCAATCAGAGCCTGTACAGAACTTTCGTCTTGAAACAGCAAGAACGCATATCCTAGGTAAGAGAACAAGATGACTTGCAAGATTCCTGATGAGATTCTCAAGAGATTTAGTTTTCTATAGTTTATAATATTCAGTGTCATTATTTAGGGCCAGACTATGCGCTGATCCCACGTGATTACACAGCAACATAAGAGATTAACAGTAAAACACCCCCCAACACACACAAACGCTCCCCTGTGCAGTCTCCCAGCATGCCTCCAAAAGCAGGAGGGAAAACAAGAGCTATGTGCTCAGTACTCTCTTCTCCACTGGTGGGGAGGAAGCAAGCAAAGAGGTGGAAACGGATAGAGCCTTGGCTCCATCCTGCCAGCACAGGCGAGTTGTGAATATGAGGTACAATTTCTTCCATGGGCTGCTTAGCTCTGCATTCCCCTTACACAGTACTAGTCTTTAACATTTTGCATATGATGTAGTAAATAAGAGGTCAGGCAGAGTAAAGAATAGAAAAATGAAAGGAAGGAGGCACAGAGAAAGAAAGGGGAGTCAGACAGGAAGTGAAATAAGAGTAATTATTTTAAATGTGTATTATCATGCACTGCTCTACAGTCCACCTACTTGCAACATCCTGCAGGATTTGAGTTACAGCATGATTTTAGGGAATATTTTCAGCATGGTATGGGGGGCAGTGAACATGAAGATCTTTTACATAATGAAAATTACACTTCAAATCCTCACACTGAAAAATAGTGTCACTGGTTCTGCAATGGTTCTTAAAATAATGTTAAGATCATGATCGTTACCTTTAGGAGGAAAATAGGATTTGCTTTCTGCCTTGTGCGGCCAATCCACAATCAAAGGACCAAAGCGACGAAAGCTAGCCGTGATCTCATCTGAGGGATGAGGAACAGAGGGATAAAAAGGAGCATGAATAGAAGTTAAAATTCACTGAACATAAAACCCACTGAACATAAAACCCTGGAGAATCTGGATTTCAGGTAATATTTTTCCTAACCTATAAACAAATATCAGTCCACTGAAAACATTTACTGAGGGAAGGGGACTCTTCATGACAAGTCAGAACATACATTAAATAGTGAGGAAAACAGTTCAAAGATCAAGGTTTTGTCTCTTTATTAATGGTTACAAATAAAGGCTTGCAGCCCACTAAGTCACAGGAACGAAATCAATGAATCTAAATAGCTACCATATCCTAGCTTTAGGCATTCTCCAACATAAAGAGTTCAAAGTCCGAATCCTTGACTGACTGCTTAGCAGTTAATTCTGCCAATCTGCCTTGCAATCACAAATGGTTTGGAGAAAAGAAAAGGGAATATCAAGGCCCAGTCAAGCCTGTTCACATCACATGCTTGTGCCACATCTGTCTGCATTATCTGAGTTTGACCTCAGACTAACTTACAGTAATGCTTGCAGAATGCAGTTATGTAATAGCTATTGGAAAGAATGCAGAGAACACATACAGTAGTGTGACAGGAAGCAACTGCAGCACCCATTTCAAATCCTCCTTCCACTTCAATATTCCGCTAAGATAATTTAGATTTGCTAGTCCTGTAAAGATGTTCCATTAATTATGGCATTGTTCTTTTTGAGCTTGGGTAATTTTTCTCCCCTCAGTAGAACGGTTGCTAGTAATAAGAAGCTTCTGAACAAGAAACACCTGTGTACAAAGCTCAAGTAGGGATAAAATTTCCTATTACCGAAGAGGCATCTGCAAGGTTTAAGTAGACTATGTTAGCACCTAGGTGCTACAATATATTAAAAATACCTAGACAAATGTTTTCCCAGTGTTTTGTCATTCATCCCTTCATCACACTAAACAATTTTTTCCATAGCAATTACAAGGTAACTTCTTGGATTCCCCCCATTTTCTATTCTTTTATTGATCTCTTCCCTCAAAGACATTAAAACAATCTTCCCTCACTGGGGGCTTCTCCCGCTGACATAGCACTGTGCACACTACCACTTACGCTGACGTAATTTATGTTGCTCAGGGGGGGTGGTTTTTTCACACACCTGAGCAACACAAGTTTTGCAGACATAAGTGGTAGTGTAGCTATGGCCTTAGTGCTGCTGCATATCATGGGTGTTTCTTTACACAAACACTGCAGTGTCCCTCAACCCCCAATATTCATGTTGAATTCACCAAACACTCTTGGCTTCTCACCAAAATTAAGTGCCTCTGGATTGATTCCTGACTCAGTTCTTACCATCCACTGCGGTGACAGGTTACCACTGGACATAACCACTGTCAAAAGCTGGCACAGAATAGAGCAACACTTTACATATGGAGCTGAATGAAGAGCCAAAACCTAAGATTGTACAAACCTAATAGAACTACTGGTAATATTACTCCTACTCTTAAGTTTCTGAAGCCCATTAGAAGAATATTTTAAAATGGGTTTCATGAGGAAGAGGGATAACTTAGTTCCTTATCTTCCAGCTGTTTTTCAGTTTGAACATATAATTCAAGTGATTTAATATTTAAATACCAATTCAATATTGCATATTTTCACGTTTAAAAAAAATCTCACATGGGATTTTTTTTGCGTTTTGTCAGATCGGCAGTAAAGTGTTCTTAAAAAGAACAACAACATGTGCTAGGTCATCATCCGAGGCTACTATAACATGAAATGTATGGCAGAAGGTGGGTAAAACAGAGCAGGAGACATACAATTCTCCCCCAAGGAGTTCAGTCACAAATTTAATTGACACTTTTTTTAACGAGCATCATCAGCATGGAAGCATGTCTTCTAGAATGGTGGCTGAAGCACGAAGGGGCATACAAACGTTTAGCATATCTGGCACATAAATACCTTGCAATGCCTGCTACAAAAGTACATTCGAACGCCTGTTCTCACTTTCTTTTGACAATGTAAATAAGAAGCGGGCAGCATTATTTCCCATAAAAGTAAACAAACTTGTTTGTCTTAATGATTGGCTGAACAAGAAGTAGGACTGAGTGGACTCATAAGATCTAAAGTTTTACACAATTTTGTTTTTGAGTTCAATTATGTAACAAAAAATCTACTTTTGTAAATTGCGCTTTCACAATAAGGAGATTGCACTACAGTACTTGTATGAGGGGAATTGAAAATTAGTATTTTTGTTATTTTTACAGTGCAAATATTTGTAATAAAAATATAAAGTTAGCACTACACTTTGTATTCTGTGTTGTAATTAAAATCAATATATTTGAAAATGTAGAAAAACATCCAAAACGTTTAATAAATTTCAACTTGTATTCTAATATTTTTAACAGTGCGATTAAAACTGCAATTAATCTAGATTAATTTTTTTCAATTGTGATTAATTTTTTGAGTTAATCATGTGAGTTAACTGCGATTAATCTACAGCCCTAATCGAAACCAATTTATTTCGGTCACAAGATTTGTATTTTCTCAGTGTTGAAAGTTTTTGGATCTAGATTAGATACAACAGCCTTAAGCATTTGAGGCATTGCATCCATCTGTCAAGACCACAGCTGCTGACCAAAGAACATTTCTATGATAATCTCATAAACATGAAGGTCTTAGCATGGCCAGCTCCCTAAAACAGATCTGCCTCTTTTTATGGTCTAGGTCTGGGCTATATACAATTAAAAGGAGGGGCTGGCGAAAGAACAGATTTATCACAAAACGTTATAGCACATTAAGTCCTCATTCTCAAATTCAGAACCAAAGTACTATTCTTTTTAAAGAGCTCATATTTTTATCTTTCAGTAACAAAGCAGTTGTAGAGACAGGGCTAATGGGAACAGCAGGTGTTCAGTGCCGCTCAGGATCTGGCCAACAATTTGTAAAAAAAAATCTCCTATTATAATCATTCTTTAGCTTGTTAACAACAGGGTCCATTCTATAGTTTATCATTAAGTCAACATGAGTTGTTCTGACTGAGCTTGTTTCTGAAAATACCTTCATCGATATCTGGTGGCAGTCCACCTACGAACACCTTGCGGGAATACCGTTCCACTCTTTCTCCATTTTGGTGAGAGAAGCAGTGTGGTGATCCTAAGCCACTATGAAGAGTCTGATCCCCACGTCCATCATCCAAGAACCCGTCTTCCATTGGAAACAGTGAAGACTGACCTAAAAAAAAAAAGAAGGGAAAAAACCCCATACTAATAGGACAAAGAACATACCATTTAAATATTAAAGAAATAATGTTCAATATTAGCAGTACATCTTCTCGTACTCTTCCCCTTTAATGAGTAATGGGAAGACTAAAAACATGATCATTTTGATATTCTGCTTATTTCATTTAACCTTACCATTTCTAGTTCTACAACAATCCAAACACCTTGTTAATTATACAGCTACAGAAAGAGGCAGTATCTTTTATTAGAGAAATTTTATAACAAAACAAACAGCATTTTAAAAAGGTCCTGAAAATCCACAATCTTTCCATAGCCAGAACTCATCTTAGCTCATTTTTGAGAAGTTTTGTAATTGCTATTGCCTAATTCTGCTGCCTGTTTTTTATGTAAGTCATATTTTGAAAAGACTTGCCACAGAAAGAAACATTATATAACCATAATAACTACTTTGTAGGGACTGTCCTGATTGTATATACATAACTAAAAATCTAGGACGCATACCATTTCTCAAACAACAACTTCTTACATGCACAAGGTAATTTCACAGTACAGATGAAAAAAGGATTCCCACACCAGCTAAATGCATTAATCTTTTAGGTCACTCAATATCAAAACACTTAAAACACAAACCATCCATTTGTAGATAACAAGAACACTGATAAAAACAGTAAGACCCACTGTAATTTCCTCTGAATAATGACTGAAGACTCATTTAAGTAACGTGTCATTCTTGGAGCAGATCAACTTTACTGAGATATTGTACAAGAAGATTCATTCATTAACTCGTTTTCTAACATGTTGCAAGCATTCTTCCTCTATTGAGACAGTCACATGTCCTTTTGCTGTAACTTTTTTTTACATATTCCTTTACGAAAGATCTTTGACTTACAGTTGTCTAACACAATACATATGAATGCACACAAACTGATCCCTGCAATGATATTACTCCTTATTACAAAATACAATAACTAGAGTCACAACATATGTGGCCAGTCCTCCACTAACACACACATTGGAAAAAGCAAGCGAATAGATGTGAGGTATGTTAAGGCTTCTAGAATAATTTTTCATTTGTCTACAGTTTGCTATATGGGAATGATATTTCAGAATTCACTACAATCTATAAAAATGGTTATCAGTGGGATTAATTTATCTTCTTTTGTTATCCTTCATTTGCAATGTCAAATAGGTTACATACATTTACTTGATTTTAAAATTAAATCAAATTATTAGAGACTGCAGATTTGACCACCTCTGAAATTCAGACATTTTCTAGGCAAAGTCAAAGTCTAACAGAGATCACACTTCACCAATTTTCTTCCTTAATCTATGGAATTAATATATTCAGAAAATTAAAGAACTCAATACTGACCCAGTCTTAGTTTCAGTATTCAACAATCTATTTTTTTAAATGTCTTTTACTCAAGGAACCATTTGAAAACTGACAAAATGGAATCACACCCACTTTTATGATTAAGTTTCTACCATTATAGCTTTCAAGGCTTTACAGTGGTTTTTTCCTTATCTTTTGCATTATCCATTTTCATTTGTCTTGTCTATTAAGACCCAAATCCTGTAGACAATTATGCATGTGAGTAACTTTGGATATCTAGGTAGTCATGATGAACACAACCACAAACCAATATGCATAAACTTACTCAGTATGCATGTTTACAGGATCCAAGCCTTTGATTATAAATCCAATGGGACGGGGCCTATATTCAGGGCCCAACACAACTGTCACACTTAAATACAAGTAATAATAGGAATCACTTCTACAGAGCTGTCATTCATAAACAAAAACAGGAGGAAAACAGCAGCATTTTAGCTCTCCCAAGTAGTAATTCATGTAGATGACACTTAGCTATAGGATTATGCACAGCTCAATCTAGGTAGTACTATTCTGGGGAGATATTTCATTCAGTTAAAATGTTTACCACAGCATGCAGACAAACTAGTAAGTCATCTTGGGTTAAAGTGATGGTTTCAAATCTTATCTTTTTAGGTTGCTTTCTAATAACAGCTTAGTGCTATGTGCGCCAGGAGACATTGTCAACATTAGAAAATTAAAGAGGAATATTGTTACCTCGCCTTCTCCCATATGTCCTTGCTGCATGTTAAATGAGAAAGAAAACAGCCTTTCAAACATTGTTAAGGACCAAAAGATTCTCCTTTATACTAGCTTAGTGGTTCTCAAGCCTTTCCATACTGCAGACCACTTAAAATGGTGTCCACAAGATTATACACACACACAATCCCATACCTTCCCTGCACCACTCTGTTTGGTTACACAAATTAACATTACATCTGCAAAGGAGATAAGAATAGTAAAGAGACTTGCTTTTTAATACAATTCTTTTAGCATCTGGGTTATATCCTTATTTAGTATATGTGCTCTTTACTGCTCTCCCTGGATGTATGACTTGATTTGTAATGGATCACCCCTCATTGTACTAGGCACTAAAAATTACTTGACACTGATTCTGCCATTTTCTGCGTTCCCTACCCCTCCAATTTTAGTGCCTCCTAAATTTTATCATGAGAATTTACAGGAAAACTCTTGATAAAGTCATACAGGATTTAAAAAAAAATGCAGGCACCGTTTTGTAAGTTAAGGTTGCCAAAAAGCCAGCACAAATCCTAAGAGAGTCCTTGAGTAACTTACTACTAACAGGAAGCTTTACTGCTGCAATACTGACAGACAGTCACAGTGGTGAAGTGTAACAGCTTCGTGGGCCACTGCCCTCTGCACACCTCCAGAGATCTATGGAGCACAGTTCAAGAACCTTTTGCACTCCCTTATTAAAACTCATGTATATACATGGTAGCTACAACTACTGTGCTCCCTCCATTTTTGTGTGCGCGCCTTTCTGGGATGAAAGTGGAGAACATTCTACTGCCAAAATAATTAAGATGATCTCTACATCTATCAGAACATGCCCAATAACTGATTCCCCACTCAAAATTACACTTAAAAATAATAATGTAGTCCAAATCCTCAACAGATAGGAAAACAACTCTGTTCTAAAGTCTGAATTTCCTGGAGAGTACTATAAAAAGTTCTGAATATATCATCAGTTTTATTTTCTTTCCTCATTCAGAATTCATCTTGCAGACACACAAGTAGCTACAGCAGAGGCGGGCAAACTTTTTGGCCTGAGGGCCGCATTGGGTTTCGTAAACTGTATGGAGGGCCGGTTAGGGAAGGGAGTGGAGGGCCGGCCCCCACCTCCTATCTGCCCCCCCCCACCCAGACTCCTGCCCCATCCAACCCTCCCTGTTCCCTGATGGCCCCTCTAGGACCCCTGCCTCATCCACACACACCCCCTGCTCCCTGTCCCCCGAACGCTCCCTGTCCCCTGACCGGCCCCGGACCCCCGCCGCCCCATCCAACCCCTCCTCTCATTCCTGACGGCCCCCCTCGGACCCCTGCTCCATCCAATCCCCCCTCCTTCCTGACTCTCCCCTCCCCCGGGACCCCTGCCCCCATTCAACCCCATTTCCCCCCAACCACCTTCTATCCAACATCCTCACACACACACACACGTTCCCTGCCCCCTTACTGTGCTGCCTGGAACACTGGTGGCTGGCAGCATTACAGCCACGCCGCACAGAGACCGGGTCAGGCCGGGCTCTGCAGCTGCGCTGCCCCAGGAGCTCACAGCCCCGCCGCCCAGAGCATTGCGCCGGAGCGAGCAGGCTGAAGCTGCGGGGGGGAGGGGCTGGGGGCTAGCCTCCCAGGCCAGGAGCTTGGGGGCCAGGTAGGACGGTCCCGTGGGCCCGCCGTAGTTTGCTACAGCATCTAAACGTTTTAACCCCCCTACAAGTCATGGGTATTTAACCCAGGTGCAAGAAAGCATATCAATTCAGTTTACTTAGGTGTTTATTTTACATTTACTTCACTGATCCTTTTTTGATGGGGACAGTCGACACACACAATCCCAATGAGAAAGTATAGCTAAGCATTGGTCCTCAGTTGAGAATATAGCCACAAGTGCTTGGCACACATTTCCTGCTAAAAATAGTAGCTTACATTTTGGGGTCTTTACAAGTATAATTTCTGTATAGTAATTAATACTGTTTTTTTGAAGTAAGAAATCTAAGGTGCTTCTATAGTTCCCAAATGAGTGAAAAGCTATGATAAGCTTTTTTCCATGCAATGACCTTGCCAGTTGCTTTGCATAGGACAGAGAGTTCAGAAGCTTTTATGCATTTAAGAACCTAAAGTGGTTTCAAAGTGTACTCTGTCTATAAAACCATAAAATCCTGTGGTCTGTAAATTGCTAACAAAACCAAAATATACACAAACTCACTTATCTCGTGCACTGACTCCTGAAAATTAGCTATTCAACATAGCTGTAATTCCTGAGACGGGTCTACGTGACACAGAGATGTGTAGATCAGCAGATTCCTTGTTGCTTTGCCACCTGTATCATTACAAGCCACGTTTTCTCAGCATTACCACTATAAAAATGCAGTTCAGCAACTAGCTGTTGGTATTTCCAGTACAGAATATTGTTGAGCAGATTTTGAGACCCAACCGTATTTTTCAGACAGCAAGCTGCTCCCCCCCCCCCCCCAGTCTTCCCTCCCCAAAAAAGAAAATACAAGATACATTCAAAAATCACTCAGCACTATGCCTGGATTCTGTGTTTTGGTTTTTTTGTTTTGGTTTTTTTTTTTTTTTTAATTAAAAGTATGGCAGTTTTCCTTTGTAGTTTTCCACATTTATTTAATCTAATCCACTCTATTTTTGACATTTCAAAATATTCCTTAGGAGCCACAGATTTTATTTTATTTCATAAAGATATTCCAATGAAATGCAGACACAAACCATGTCTGCCTGTTGGGCTCAGAGCCCATCATGTCCCAGTATTTTGTGCACTTTCTGGGATGTTTGGGGGGGAAGTGCTGTGTTTTGGGGAGACTGAAAAAATGCCTGACTAAAACTTACTAAAGCCTTATTCGGTACATGACTTTCATTATTTGCTTTAGAGAAATCTGTGCTTTGCAACTGTACTAGCTAAGATTCAGCTCAAATAAAGCCTTCTTTAAGGAAACAGTTACCAGTGGTGCAAAATCTGTCTCCTAGTTCTTGGATAAAAGGAGATCTGTCTATATAGTTAGCACTAAAAAGTAAGACCACTTCAGTGTTACTTTGTACAGCTTCCTCTTCACTGATTACCCTAGTTTTTCTCGAATTCCTCTAAAATTTAAGTTAAAAACAACATCAAGGACTTGGCTCATACCCAAGAAAATTGAGTGAAGGCTGAAACTTCATCCTTAACTCATTTCATTTTGCCAGAAAATTGCAATATACTGTTATATTGCATGTAAGGTCACCCACTGCTCTGAATAAGAGGGCCATAACATCTGTATCACCTAGACCAGTGGTGCTCAAACTTTTTATGTCACTGTTCCCTGTAATGTAATCTGTCTGTCTCAGCTGGGCCGCGGCGGCGAGATGGGGCTGGAATGGAGCTGGGGGGCATTTCCTCCCTGCCCCCCGTGGGGGCTGGCCCAGGCCAGAAGCTGAGCCAGGGCTGCGGCCGGGACCGTGAGATGGGGCCTGGAACGGGGATGGAACAGAGCTAGGTGGCACTCCCTCCTGGGACCATGAGATGGGGCTCCTGCTGGGAGCAGGAATGGAGCCATGGTTGGGAGCTGCAGGCAGGCTGGGGCCATGGCCGGGAGCAGAGTCAGGTGGTGCTCCCTCCCTGTCCCATGTGGGGGCTGGCCTTGGGGTTCTCCACATACCCCCAAAATATTCCTCCACACACACACACCCCCGGGAATGTTCCTCTACTCCACCTATGGGGAGTACATACTACAGTTTGGGGACCACTGATCTAGTTAATATAATATTTTTTTTACTGTTATTAGCCTCAATTTTTTTTCCCCAAGAAAGTAAGGGGTGAGCAACTTAATCTAAAACCAGTCATTTCCGTTCTTTGGCCCCCTCAATATCCCCAATCACCTCCCTTCAATTTGAGTACAGTATGATTTTTGCACTTCCTCATCTTCAAAGCACTCCTCAATGAGTCCACTTAGATCCTTGTTTCCACATATATCTCCCACCTCCACTCCCTCAAGCCCACGTGAGACTTTCAATGGTTCCTCTTGTCTACTGGCATCTCCATGCCACCTGTCATGCCTAGTATAGTCTCCCAATTAACATATGTCAAGCTCCTTCCATCTTCTTTTAGAAGTGCCAACAAGATGAGTATGTGGTATTACATTATGTGCTACCAATGTGCTCAGCCCTGTATAAGGCACACATAGTCGTTGCCTCAGAGATCTCAATCTAGAAGACAGCCCTAAAGGAGAAGATACACTGGAGAATCTAGATAAAAGGGTCACCTTGGATTTAAAGTTCCTTAAATCCCAAACCTGCAACAAACACTGTGCGGGAGAAGCCCTGAGCCCATGCAGAGCCCCTCGTGATTTTTGTGGGGCTCCTAAAAGATATACACTCATACGGAACAACTTACAAGATTGGGGCCCTAATGAATTTGGTTTTATGTGTGGGCTGAATGAGGATCTGAATGAGAAGGCTGGCAGCCTAGCATTGGGAGGCTGTTCCATGCAAAAGAGGCAACATGTAAGGTAGCACAAAGATGGGAGTTGGACTGACACACAAGCTCCATTTAGCACACCAACCTCACTGATCACACACCACCCTGTCTGCTTAACACTACATCTACACTAGGAAAACAAAATATATATTTTTATACACGTCCTCTAACTCTAATTAAAATCCTAATTTAGACAGGAAACTGTATGTTAGCTGGTCAAAACAAACCCTGAGGGGGCAGCCTAAGATTTACATTGACCAACACACGTTTAAAAAAAAGTTCACAATTGCCTTGTCTTCATTAGGATTTTAATAAGCGTCAGCTGGCATGTTAAAAAAAACACAACACTTTTTTTCTAGCCAAGACCTAAATGACACTATTCTATCTTGTAGGAGTACTGTACCCACGCATGTCTTCAGTCTGAAAGCTCCTTAAGACAGCGATTCTATTCGTTGCCTAGCACACCAGCCAACGTAAGGCACTTGCCACTTTCTACTATATATATTGGTCCATAATATGCTTTCTTTTTCATTTT